TTGGAAACAAAGAAGAATCACCGGTAGTTGGAAAATTTGGCCTTGGTGACAGAAATAATGCTGGAACTCTCATGGTAGAATTTTGCAAGACCAACGACTTGTTCATTGCAAACACTTTTTCAACAACACAAACGGAGGCTGTACACGTGGACTTTACCATATGGAACACACAGGAATCAGACTGGCTACATCTGTGGCAAGAGGCGGTGGAAAAGCTCAATATCTTCAGCCAAAACCAGGCCAAAATCATTGGGACACAGCAAAAGCAGGGCTCAGAGAACAATCAATGCAACATCAAAAAAGAAGAAAGAACCATAATCAATACCGTAGTCCAGCATCTCCAACAATCAGGAAAAGAACAGCAAAAAAGCCAGTAGCCACAAGAAGAAAGGAAAAATAATAAAGATTCGAACAGAAATAAATGAAACAGAAAAACAATAGAATTAGTTAGACTAGAAGTTGGTTCTTTGAAAGGATTAATAAAATTGACAAACCACTGGCAAATTTTACAAAGGAAAAGAAGGATAAGATGCAAATAACATGAATAAGGAATGAAATAGGTAATATCACAGCAGAACCTACTAAAATAGAAAGGATAACAACAGAATACTATGAAGAACTACAACAAATTCGAGAACCTAGAAAAAATTGGGCAAATTTCTAGAGACATACAACCTACCCAAATTAACACAATCTGAGGCAGAACATTTGAACAGACCCATCACAAAAGAAGAAATTGAACAGGTCATAAAAAAAGCTTCCAACAAAAACAAAAGTGCTGGCCCAGATGGCTTCACTTGCTAATTCTATCAAATGTATGAGAAGAACTGATACCAGTTCTACTCAAACTATTCCAGAACATGGAAAGGATGGGATGACTCCTGAACTCATTCTATGAAGCAAGCATAACCTTGATACCAAAACCAGGCAAGATGTCACTGAAAAAAAAAAAAAATTTATACACTAATATCCCTCGTGAACATTGATGCAAAAATTCTCAACAAAATTCTAGCCAATAGAATCTAACAACGTATCAAATATATATCATGACCAAGTGGGATTCATACAAGGTATACAAGGATGGTTCCACATTACAAAAACAATCAATGTAATCTACCACATAAATAAAACAAAGGAAAAGAACCATATAATCATATCAATTCATGCAAAAATGGCATTTGACAAAATCCAACACCTATTCTTGATAAAAATGCTCAGCAAAATAGGAATAGAAGGGAAAATTCTTCAGCATAATTAAGGGCATATGCACAAAACCAATGGCCGACATTATTTTCAACAGAGAGACTGACTGAAAATATTCCCCCTGTAAACTGTAACCAGACATGGATGCTCTTTATTACCAATCCTATTCAATATAGTATTGGAACTCCTTGTTGTTGTTGTTGTTATGTGCCATCGAATCGGACCCAACTCATAGCGACCCCTCCTTGGGTTTCCGAGGCAGTATCACTACGGAAGTAGATTGCCC